GAATGCCTTTGGGATTACTGGAGACTGGCATGTGGAGAACATAACAAAACAATTTAGGCAACTTGTTACTTTTATGGGAAGCATATCAGGATGAAGCAGCACCCATCAAAGAATTAATTTTTAGAGATACTTTACACATATAATTCAGTGAGATGTTTCACGCATGTAACTTAAAATAAAATTTATACAAATCCATTAATAGACTTGTTAATTACTAGTCTTCTGAAATTATATTCGGTATTCTTATAAAGGTTTTACATGAGATTTCTTGAAGTGCTGGTTAGTAGTTTGCAATAGGGAAGAATCCAACAACTGAAATGACACTAGGGCTTCAACTTTTAAAATTATGTCACTGGGTTAATGGTTTCCAGATGTAAGCACAGCACACATAAAAATTATCTGAGCAGGGCGGTGGTGGTGGGGCATGTCTTTAATCCCAGCATGCAGGAGGCAGAGGCAGGCAGATCTCTGTGAATTCAATACCACCCTGGTCTACAGGACCTAGTTCCAGGACAGGCTCCAAAACAATACTGAGAAACCCTGTCTAGGAACCCCCCCAAAAAATTCATCTGAAAGATTGTTAGGAGACAAATTCCAAAACCCAGAAAAAATTTCTGCTGTAGTTCAGAGTGGAGCTGAGAATCTATGTATGAAAACCTCCATCACCCAGGCAGTGATAGAGCACGCCTTTACTCCCAGCACTTGAGAGCAGAGGCAGGTGGATCTCTGAGTTCCAGGCCAGCCTGGTCTACAGAGTGAGTTCCAGGACAGCCTCCAAAACAATACAGAGAAAACCTGTTTCAAAAAGAAAGAAAGAAGGAGGAAGAGAGGGAGGGAGGGAAAAAGGAAGAAAGAGAGAAGGAATAAAGAAAAGGAAAGGAAAACCTCCATCAGAGATGAGATAAGAGGAGGAGGCCTGTGTGGCTAGGCTAGAGTGATGGGAGGACATGCAGGAGATGAGGTCACTATGCAAGGAAGTCCTGAGGCTACCGTGGAGACAGAAAGCACGTCTGCCAGTCACAGTATGAACTGACATGTCTTCAGTGATTCTTCCAGCGCTTGTTGGAGAGAAACCACTGGGGACTAAGGATGGAAACAGAGGGGTCGACTGGGAGTGGGCAAGGGGGACGGAAGAGGTGGAAGGGAGAACTAGGGTTGGAATGTAAAATGAAATAATAAAGTAAAAAAATGGGAAAAATTAAGAATATCCAAAAAGAATGAAAACAGGCTCTGCTAGAGGTGCTATTTCATCCTTCTTCCTCAGCTCTGTTCTCTCTATTGCTTAATTTCTTTTCTTTCTTTTTCGAGAAAGGGTTTCTCTGCGTAGCCCTGGGTGTCCTAGAACTCACTCTGTAGACCAGATTGGCCTTGAACTCACAGAGATCCACCTGCCTCTGCCTCCCTAGTGCTGTGATTAAAGGCGTGCGCCACCACCACCCAGCTGTCTTTCTTCTTTTTTTAGTCTCTTTAAATATTTGCCATTTCTTTATGTTGAGTAGCTTTGATTCAGTAGCATCATCTTTGATGAGGCTCCGTCAGGAAAAAAAAAGTCAGGACTCTGTGCATGCTTTTAATTTCTGCACCGTGGCAGATCTCTGTGAATTTGAGGCCAACCTGGCCTACGAAGAAAGTTACAAGATATCCTTCCTGGACTGCATAGAGAGACCCTGCGTCAATGATAGAAGTAGAAGTAATAGTAGTAGTAGTAGTGGTGGTGGTGGTGGTGGTGGTGGTGGTGGTGGTGGTGGTGGTGGTGGTGGTAGTGGTGGTGGTGGTGGTGGTGGTGGTGGTGGTGGTGGTGGTAGTAGTAGTAGTAGTAGTAGTAGTAGTAGTAGTAGTAGTACCTTCAGTTTGTCAGATCCCTGGCTCTGTTACTGTCTGCATCTTCCATGTTCTTACTAACTACTTCTTATCTAACACCCCTTCTCTCCCTACCTCCAGGTGGTAGGGCAGCCTAGCCTCAGTCTAAGTCCTTTCTTGTATCTAGCTCAAGTGATCAGAGATACAGATATGCCTTTTAGGACAATGTCATTTCTGGTAATTATAAGCCTGGAGCTCCTGCCCTGGGCTCACAGGATAACTGCTTGTTATACAAACTGGAGCTCTTCATTTCTTCCTAATTTCTTCTTCCCCAGCCTATTCTGCCAGCCCACTCCCCACCTCCAGTAAATGCCACTGTAGTTGCTCAAGACAAAAAAAGAATCATTCTGGAAAAGTTCTATAGCTTCAGTGATAGCTTAGGAGTCATCGTGGAACCAGATCTGAGACTGGGTAAGGCCCATAGGCATGTGAAGAGTTCCTCAACTCACACCAAAAGCTGAAGACTCAGGCAGGAATCCCTACCTGATTTCCAGAAGAAGACTTTGTAAGTGTTTCTCGCGGATCTGGATGGAACAGGAGTTGGTTAGGTATTCTGGCACTCGGGAGTCACAGAAGACTGAGTGTTACACAGCTCAGGTGGAAAGGTTTCCTGGAGCTCGGGAGTCACATAATACTGGGTGTTACACAGCTCAGGTGGAAAGATATCCTGGAGCTCGGGAGTCACAGAATACTGAGTGTTACACAGCTCAGATGGAAAGGTATCCTGGAGCTCGGGAGTCACAGAATACTGAGTGTTACACAGCTCAGCTGGAAAGATATCCTGGAGCTCGGGAGTCACAGAATACTGAGTGTTACACATCTCGGGTGGAAAGGTATCATGGAGCTCGGGAGTCACAGAATACTGAGTGTTACACAGCTCAGGTGGAAAGGTATCCTGGAGCTCGGGAGTCACAGAATACTGAGTGTTACACATCTCGGGTGGAAAGGTATCATGGAGCTCGGGAGTCACAGAATTCTGAGTGTTACACAGCTCAGGTGGAAAGGTATCCTGGAGCTCGGGAGTCACAGAATACTGAGTGTTATACAGCTCAGGTGGAAAGGTATCCTGGAGCTCTGGAGCCACAGAATACTGAGTGTTACACATCTCGGGTGGAAAGGTATCCTGGAGCTCGGGAGCCAAGGACCACCACAGGTTGTAGTAAGCATAGCAGCTTACAGCCTTGCCTCAGGGAAAGGCTTCCCCAGTGTATCTGCTCTGCTCTGGCAGTACAGGGTCTTCCAACTAGGGATGTTCACCCAGTGTAGCAGGTTTGCTCGGCAGGAGGTTTCTCAGGCGAAATTGGAACAGTTCAGCTGTGCTCCTGGAGAGTGGAGAGAAGAGAGCAGGGAGCAGAGTGTTACAACTCCACTCTGCCAGTGGAAGGTTTCCCCGGCAAAAGTGTTACAGTCCTGCTCCCTCTACCCTGCCCGGGATTGCCTCTGCTCCATCGCTGCAGCAGCAAAAGAAGATCTTCACCCAAAGCTCATTGAAGGGGTTTATTAAAAGGAAGAATCCAGGAGAGTGGCTGCCCTCTCCCAGAGTGGCAGAGGACAGCCGGTTAGCAGGAACAGCCAGAAGCTGAACAGACACAGGATTTATATATGGCTTCCAGGGTGGGGATTGTTCAGATTTTAGTGCTGAGCTCATATTGGCTCGAGCTTTGCTCGAGGAGTGGATAGTTTGCAGCACAGGGTTAGGGTCTGATTTGCCTCTGGTTTCAGGGCCAAAGTGTGTTTCTTTCTCTGGTCCTTTTTAGGCTTTTGGCTCCAGTTTTTGGGCCAGGATGCATTTCTTTCACTGAATGTGATGCCAGGGAAAAAATGTGTTCTTTTGGCACTGGTTTCAGGGCCAGGGTACATTTCTTTGGTTCTGGTTGCAGGGCCAAAGTGTGTTTCTTTGGCTCTGCACAGGGTGTGTTTCTTTGACTGGACCCTTTTCCCTACAGACTTAAGACAGAATCTCTGGCCCTAAATTCTAGTCTTATGGAGGGAAAGGATATCTTCTCCCTTCTAGGACTTAATCCTTCACTAAATATTGCAAATGCCACCAATGAGAGTAGAAAAAAAAAAAGACTAGAAATTTTTAAAAGAAGAACACAACCAGTACACTAACTCTAGATGTGCAAATCACAACACAGAAACATCATGAAAACCCAAGAAAATATACTTCCTTCATAAATCACTAATTCCACAATAATGGCACCTAATGAAAATGACTTGGAATGCTACCAGACAAATATTCAAAAGACTGATAAGTATATTGAGACAATTCAAAGAAGACATGACTATACTCCAAAAGAACAAAAAGAGAGGATGAAATGAGGAATTCAGCACAAGGTATGAAAATAGAAATAGACTTGCTGAATTAAACCTACCTGAAATGATGCAGGAAATGAAAAACACAAGAACCTCCCCCGATAGACTGGATCTTGTAGACAACAGAGGATCTACACAGTGAGAAAGACCCTGAAATGCAAAGCTCTAACTGGAATGTCTTACCAAATTCCTCCCCTCTGACCTCAAGGAACCCCATGGAAGAGGAGGGGGAAAGGTTTAAGAGCCAGAGGGGATGGAGGACACCAGAAGGACATGTCCCTCTAAATCATCTGATCAAAGCTCATATGAGCTCACAATGAATTAAGCAGCAAGCACAGGGCCTGCATGGGTCTGCACCAGATCATCTGTGTACATGTTATAGCTTTCAATTTAGCATTTTTATGGGACTCCTGAGGGTGTGAAAAAGTGGATCTCTGATTCTTGTGCCTTCTTTGGGGGCTCTTTTCCTTCTATTGGTTTTCCTTGTCCCACTTCAACATGACAGTTTTTGTTTTGTCTTACTGTATTTCATTTTATTATGTTTTGTTGCTGTCTCTTAGATGCATGGTCTTTTCTAATGAGAAACAGAAAGAGGATCCAGATGGGAGAGGAGATGGGGAGGAACTGGGAGGAGTAGAGGAGGGGAAAATGTAATCAGGATGTATTGTATGAGAAAAGAATCTATTTTTTTATTCTCTACTAGTTTATTGAGTTAAAAATTGAAGATCCCACATTTTAAGAGGCTCTTATATACAGTACAAGTCTAATCGACAGATGTGGAAATCAGTCAGAGGAGGTGTCCTCAGACACTGCCATGACACGGACCTGATGCTCTCTCTCTGAAAAGAATCCTATAAAATATTGCTCCCAAACCCCTCTAAAATCATGATAGTGCAGCAAAACCCCAGGTAAACATCTGCCTGCTGACCCAATACTCAAATATAGACTGAAAGCCAACAGGCATATCTTTTCTGTGTGTAACTTTTAACAAACAAATCATTCAGTTGAAATACCCAATCTGTACAGTGCTGCCCCTTCACAGAAGGCGAGAAACTGCTGGAGCATCACGTCAGAGGCCGACCTCGGTGCTGTAGGCTGTGAAAGTGGGCTTCCTTCAGGGTCTGATTGATATTGAAATAAGGGCTTTTTCACAGTGCAGACTGCTTGGGCACTGGCTCGGGGTGCTGGGGCAGGATCCCGGGATGAGCTGGCTCAAGCTTCTCTCTGGTCCACTGGCCCTGTCTGGGATGTTGCTGCTGCTGTTGCTGCTGCTGCTGCTGCTACTCCCACCACTGTCACTGCTTGAAGACTGTGTGTCCCAGGAGTCCTGAAAGATGGGATTCCTACTTCTCCTTTTGGTCTGGGGTGGGAGGTGGCTATCATCATCATTTCTTCTCCTTTTTCGTGGGGCGGAAGCACTTGCTCATGGCAGCTGGTGAAGGCTAGCAATGCAGCCCTGCTCTGCCCTGACAGCTAACAGACTGAGCTGGGTTCCAACGACTGCCACACCCACCCCTGTGGTCCTGGGTGGCAGCTGCAGGCAGAGTACCCCTCTGGTCGACCTGTACCACCACGATTTCCAGAAAAAAAATCTATTTTTTAAGATTTATTTATGTATATGAGTGCTCTATCTTCATGTACGGCTTTATTCCAGAAGAGTGTATTGTATCCCACTATAGATGGTTGTGAGCCACCATTGAACTCAGGACCTCTCTCTGGAAGAGCAGCCAGTGCTCTTAACTGCTGAGCCATCTTTCCACACCCTGCCCCCAAGAAAAGAATCTATTTTTTAATAAAAGGGGAGCCGGGCAGTGGTGGTGCACACCTGCAATCCCAGCACTCCGGTAGCAGAGGCAGGTGGATCTCTGTGAGTTCAAGGCCAGCCTGGTCTACATAGCAAGTTCCAGGACTGACTCAATAGCTACTAAGAAACCCTGTTTTGAAAAGCAAAAACAAAAAGTTAAAATGAAAAAAAAGTGGTAAAAAAACAAACAAAAGAGAAAGCTGTACAATGTCTTTCAGGTGAAAAGTCTGTGTGCTTATCTTTAGGAGCTTCAGTATGTTTTTTAAAAAATCTTTTAGGCCAGGAGATGGTGTGTGCCAGGGGTAAATATTGATCTACTAGCCAAAGCCTCCCAGGTTGGCTAGGCCTCCTCATTAACACCCACATTCAGGGGGCCTGGATCGGTCCCATGCTGGCCTCTCAGCCATCAGTCTGGGGTCCAAGATATCCCCCTTGTTCAGGTCAGCTGTGTCTCTGGGTTTCACCAGTCCAGTCTTGACCCCTTTGCTCATCACTCCTGCCTCTCTGTCACTGGATTTCAGGAGTTCAGTTCAGTGTTTAGTTGTGGGTATCTGCCTCTGCTTCCATCAGTCACTGGATGGAGGTTCTAGGATGGCATAAAAGGTCGTCGTCAAACTCATTATCAGGGAGAGGCATTTAAGGTAGTCTCTCCACTATTAGTTTGCCAGTTGGCGTTATCCTTGTAGATCTCTGGAGATCTCACTAGTGCCAGATCTCTCCTCAAACCTAAAATGACTCCTGCTATTATGGTATCTCTCCTCCTGCTCTCCTCAATTCTTGCCCCTTCTCAACCTTCCTGCTCCTCTCCCCTCCTCTTTTACCCCTCACTTTTTCCTGGCTCCCTCTCCCCTCCCCTGCCCCATACTCCCAATCTATTCAGGAGATCTTGCTTCATTCCACCATCTCTGGGTTACCATGCATATCTCTCTTAGGGTTCTTCCTGTTCCCCAGTCTCTCTGGCAGTGGGGTTGTAGGCTGACACTCCCCTGATTCATTTCTAAAATCCATATATGAGCCAGTATATACCATGTTTGTCCTTTTGTAACTGGGTTACCTCACTCAGGATGGTTTCTTCTAGTGCCATCTATTTGGTGGCAAATTTCAAGATTCCATTGTTTTTTTCCATTGAGTAGTACTCCATTGTGTAAATGTACCACATTTTCTCTATCCACTCTTCAGTTGAGGGGCATCTAGGTTGCTTCCAGGTTCTGGCTATTACAAATAGTTCTGGTATAAACATAGTGAAACAGACATCCTTCTTGTATGAATATATATTTTTTGGGTATATGCCTAAGAGTAGAATTGCTGGGTCTTGTGGTAGACTGATTCCCATTTTCCTGAGGAATCTCCATACTGATTTATTGCAATTTTTGTTTTGTCTTTTCCTCCCTTTCTTGCATTTATTGGATTTTTTGGTTTGTTTTTTTCTTCCATTTCTTGCATTTTTGGTTTGTTTTTTCTTCCATTTCTTTAAGGGATTTTCTCATATCATTTTTGAGGGCTTCTATCATTTTTATGACATTGTTAGTAAGGTCATTCTCTTCTGCTTCATCTGCATTGGGGTGTTCAGGTCATGCTGGTGTGGAGTCTCTAGACTCTGGTGGTGGCACATTTGTTTTTCTGTTGCTGAGTTTGTTTTTATATTTTCTCTTTCCCAACCCTTCTTCCAGTGAGTGCAGGAAGGACCTCTTATTCTCCTAGTGGGTAGGGAATCAGGGTTCCCTTTTGGCGGGTGCAAGCAAATCCAATACTCTCTGGCCTCTGCTGTGTGTCCTGCCCTCTGCCCTGAGTGGGGGCAGGAGTAGACTGGCTCTCTCAGGAGGCTCCTGGTGATTTGGTCCTCAGGGGCGAGTCAACCTAACTGCAGTCCCCAGGCCATGAGATCCGAGAGAGGGTGAGTGGAAGAAAGTGGGGGGGGGAGGATGGGGGCTAGGAGCTCTAGACTAGTATCTTAGCTATGGTTTCTATTGCTGTGAAGAGACACCATGACTATAGGAACTCTTATAAATGAAAACGTTTAATTGGGTGCTTGGTTGGCTTACAGTTTCAGAGTTTTGACCTATTATTGTATGGTGTTACACAGGTAGATATGGTGCTGGAGAAGTAGCTAAAAGTTGTATATCTTGCAGGTAATAGGAAGTGGACTGAAACACTGGGTGGTGTTCTGGAAATCTCAGAGACGGCCCCCACAGTGACACAGGCCCTCCAACAAGGCCATAACCATTCCAACAAAGACAAGCCTGAGAATAGTGCCACTCTCTATGAGATTATTAGGACGAATTACATTAAAACTACCACAAGTGTTCTACTAAAAGCTATGCCACCATCCTTTTAAGCCCACTCTAAAATTTCTAATTTCTTTTTTAATGAAATAGCAAGAACAATGATGACACCCTAAAATCTATGGATGATTATATCATATATTGTGTTAACATTGTCTTCAGTAGAGTGGTGGTGGCAGACACTGTTAATCCCTGCACTCGGGAGGCAGAGGCATGTGGGAATGTTTGGGTTTGTATGTCATTGCCAGGGTACACAAGTGCTCGAACATGCCCAGAGTGGGTAGGCCCCTAGCCTCATTGTGGGGTCATGAGGTCCACAGAAGACTTCACTCCTAGATGAGCCTGCCCCATGTAGACCAGGAAGCACACAGCTCCTCCCATCCTCCTTCATACTCAGAATACCTCTAGCCATTCAAAATCCCCTTAGAAAAGTAAAGAAGGGACTCTTTACTCCTATCCCAGTCTCCTAGACAACTGAGATTTTGCAAGACTTCCCAGGGATTTGGAGATACATATGTAGTAAACTAGCATCACCCCAGATCTTTAAACCCAGAGACCCATCTACCTGCCCTGCACAGGGCCATCTTGGCCCCAGTAGTAGGGGAGGAGTCACCAAGTCTCAGTAGGATAGGACTCATCATCTGGACTTCACATATGTTCACACTAGACTGCTCTGAACAAATCTTTTCCAGTTATAAGCCCAGTACCCTGACTGTGTCTGCAGTCAGAGGACTCCTCTTATCCCTTCAGACTTGTCTCTGAGCCCAGCCTTTGAGATGTTGGGACTGACACCTAGCCCCAGAATCTTAGAACATTCACTCCAAATTTCAGGAGCCTCCGAGTGCAGCACTGTATGAGTTCACAGCTCCATGAGCACTTTCCCACCTTTTCTGAAAAGACGTGATCTTATGTAGCTCATGTTGACCTAGAATTCTCTAGGTAGCCTAAGGTGGCCTCCGAGCTGGATTTCCCCGCCTTCATCTCCAGAGTTCTGGGATCACAGGCATGAGCCAGTCTCCGGGTTTTGGTTTCTTTTTCAGGAGACAATGAAGCATTTGGTATCTCCACAGAGACTACCAGCAAACGTGCCTTGTCAAGGTCCGGGTGTCCACGTTCCTGCATTATGTCATGGCAAGTGTATGGCCATCAAGGACACAGGACGAAGTTAACAGGGCAGGTGTAAATTCACTGTAATCCAGAGCTAGTGCCAAGTTTTAGAGGAAGTGGCATTCAGGGGGGCAGTAAGAAAGTAGGGTCAAATACTGACTCTCAGCAATCACGTGAGTGTTGGGATTAAAGAGACACTGTTTGCTGCTAGAAGGAATGATTTCCAGCCTCTGGAATGCAAAGGAGGTTGCCTTGTTGGATGGAGAAAGTGACAGTTAAAACAAAGTCAAGATTGTGAGGAGGAGGACTATCAGTATAGTCAGAGGTAAGAAATAAAGGCAGGGTGAAGACCAGGATGGATTTCCCTTTAGAAAGTCATTTTTTGAAGAACACTAGCTGGAAAATTCAGTGATCTGTGTCCAGCGTGGATAAATGTAGTGTATATGGGGGTGAGAGTGAGTGGAAACAGTCTTGATGAAGGACTGTGCCTCGATGAGGGGCGTGGTTTAGCTGCACTGACATGTGGCAAAGGACTTGAAACAGCTCTGTAGATCAGTGAAAACTATGTAGAGTTCTATTATGGTCCTCTAAAGTAGGTCTTTGCCTGTTTTTCCAGAGGTAACGCACACTCCGCAAGGTAAGTTTGATTTGTGTGTGTGAAGAACACCAATTTTCAGTTCTAGCTACACAGGCACTTCGGTTTGTGGTTGCATCTGTTATTGATGGCTTGCTACAAGTTAATTAACAAAACTCTCCCGCCTGAAGATTCTTGCTCTTAATTTCGTCTTACAGGGAACAGAGCTGCGGAGGAAGCAAGCAATTTGTCGTAGGTCTCAGGAGTAAATGTAGAGCCAGGATTTCTCTAGAGGCCTTATTATGCTGACATTAATACTGACATTTTCCTGTGTCATTGGTAGGATGCAAGAAGGAACTTGACATTTGAAAAGCAAGTACTTATTAAATTATTAATTTAAAAATTACTATTACTATATTGTTTGAGTCGCCCCAAGTTTTTGCATTGAGCAGTCATCATTTGGACAAATCCTTTGGATTAAAGA